AAAACAAATTGTTAGTAGAGGCCTGCAGCCAACACGTGAAAACTTAGAGAGAGCTGGAATCAGTATAGCAAAACAAAATCATATAGCTTGGGTCTTAGGCCTTCCCTTCAGCAGCGACGACAGCAGCAGCAGCAGCAACAGCAGCAGCTGGGCCAATCTAAGCACAAAACAAAAGGCGGCGTGGATAGCAGCTATAATACTGCTGGTGCTGGCAGCAGCAGCAACTCTATACTGGCTGCATACTAAAGTATCAAGGAGCCTCGCACGCATGCGCTGTCTCCGAAGGGAAGCCTATCTCTCTCGCATGCAGAAGGAGGACAGGAAGCGACGAAGCGAGAAGGAGCAGCAGCAGCAGCAGAAGCAGCTGCTGCTGCTGCAGCAGCAGGTGCAGCAGCAGCAGCAGCTTCTGCAGCAGCAAACCCTGGGGGAGAGACAGCCTTCCGGAGGCATAGTTAAAGAGCTACGCCTGAAGACATCTTTGATGAGTTCTAACTCCAATGCAGCAGCACTAAGAGACAACTCAGCAGCTGTCTCCTCTGCAGCAACAATGCAGCCAACAAGGAGACACCTCAGGGGCTTTACTCTTAATGGGAAGCTTCTAGGGGGGCCCCCGACCCAGGAGAGCGACAGCAGCAACTCCCACATACGCTGCAGCAGCAGCGCAGCAGCACAAGAGAACTACGAGACATCTGCTGCAGCGATGCACCATAATGCTTCATTTCTCTCTTCAGTCAACACCAATACGCACTTAGCAGATAAACAAGACCCCCATAGACAGCATACTCGCCGCATGCTGCATGCAGATTTAGGTGTACATACAGCTCAGCATACCCACCACCATCAGCAGCCACCAACGCCCTAACGAGCAAGCTTAAAGACACGCATAAAGATGTACACACGGACAGAAGACCGTCTGCTGCTGCTGCGGCTGCAGCAGCAGCAGCAGATGCTGGCGCTGCAGCACCAGCATCTGCTGCAGGAGCAGACACAGCAGCGGGTTGGGCTGCTGCAGCAGAATCAGAAGCACTTGCTTGCTAACGAAACAAATGAAGGAGACACAATGCAACAGACAGGACCCTCTCAGCAGCCATTGCCAGCAGACGTGTGGGGAGAGAAGGAGTTGCTTCTGGTACTGCTGCTGCTGCTGCTGCTGCTGCTCCACCCTTCAGCAGCAACAGCAGCAGCAGCAGTTTGGGGGGACAGCGCAGCTTTGAGAAGCACGAAGCTTGGCATTCGTAAGACTTGCTGTCGCTACTGCTGCTGTTGTTGCTGCTGCTGTTGTTGCTGCATGCATGCAGCGGAGTGTTCTGTTTTGGGGCTGATGGTGCTGCAGCCTCTGCGAGGCGGAGGAAGCCCAGGCAACGAGCTGCAGCTAGCCAGCTAGCCAGCTAGCGATGTATAGAAGACGTTGTTTGCTCGTTCCTCAGCAGCCCCATCGATTCACACATAGCTGCATGCGTGCATAGATGCATGCATGCAGGCATGCATGCATAATTGCATACGTAGCTGCATGCATGCATAGCTGCATGCATGCATAATTGCATGCATGCATAATTGCATGCATTGCTGTATGCATGCATAATTGCATGCATACATAACTGCATGCATGCATGCATGCATACATAGCTGCATGCATAATTACATGCATAGCTGCATAGCTATGCATGCAGCTATGCATGCAGCTATGCATGCATAGCTGCTACAGAGAGGGTGTTGTCTTGGGTTTGTGAAGAGTATTATTAAGAAGGAGTCTGCTGTGGGGACTGCTGCGAGCAGCGGAAATATAAAAATATTTTGGCCTTCTTCTGGCTATTAACTCTGAATAATATTATTATACATTTCTTTTAACGCTCATTTACTGTCGTTTGTTTATATATATATAACATATATTATATGCATATTATATTTATATGTATATATGCTGCTCTGGCATATATAATATAAGTAAAAATATAAATATAAATATATATATATATATATATATATATTCGATATAAACGAGCGTACGTATAAACAAATATGCCTATGAATAGATAGTGTTACATATACATATGCATATATATATATATCCAAATATGCATATATATATCGCCTTTTTCCTGAGTATAATATAACAATATATATCTATATATATATATATATATACAGATATATATATATATATATATATAGACGTACTTCCCCTTAAGTTCCTGAACAATATATATATATATATATATGTTTATATATATGCATATATATATATATATACACACATATATATATACATATACATATATATTTACATTATATACTGTATATATAATGATGTTGAGGAACTGCAGGGGAAGTTGGTCTATTTGGGTCTGAGGGAGGTCCTTAGACGACTCTCTTCCAACAGTAGCGAGGGCTTATATGCTTATATATATATATACATATATATATATATACATATATATACATGTACATATATACGTATATATCAATATATATATATATATATATATATATATATATATAT